GGCATGTGGGATCTTCCCAGACCGGGGCACAAACCCGCGTCCCCTGCATCAGCAGGCGGACTCCCAACCAGTGCACCACCAGGGAAGCCCAAGATGCTTCTTTTTTTCCCTCTCTGATTACATAAGTAAACCTAACTCATATATGAGTGAATTCTTGTCCTTAAAACAAATTGAAATATAAGAATGTAGAGTAAGAGATCAAGTTTCTATAAACCTCAAGATTTCAGCACCATCCCCAGAGGTAAGCACATAGAAGTTTGGGGTGTAATCTTCCATACATTTTGCTATATGAACACAGATGTTCTTTGGAGGATGGGGTGATTAACACAAATAGAGATCATATAGTTGAAACCCTTCATTTTATTAATGAGTAAACTGAGGCCCAGAGACGTTCTTCATGTGCCTTATAACATCCTGTGCTCTAAAAGATTATGTCATAATTTTGCTTCAGACTCATTCTACCTTATTTTCCATCTTACTCACTTCATTCTTCTGTTATCAACTAACAGATCCCGCCTCCCAGTATAAACTTCACCCTGCCCTCCCCAGTGCTTGGAATGCCATCTGTCCCGATGTTTGACCCCCCTTGGGTCCCTCAGTGCAGCGGGAGTGTCCAGGACCCCATTAATGAAGACCAGTCTGTAAGTAACAGGCACTTTCTTTCTAATATCTTCAGGCTCCATGGTGTACATGCAAGAGAGAACAATGGATGTGTGAGACAGTTGTCATAAGAATGTAATAACAGCACAGAAAATCAATCACAAAAGGCCTTTAGTTCTTGTGAGATAGAAGGAACTGACATCTGGGGTGAGCATTTGCAGACCTCCAAAAGCCAAAACAGTTTTGTTCCATAATCATAGAAGCAGCCACCTTATAATAAAAGCTACTAAAAGCATTAGGCATTGATTTCCTAGCCAAAGGTAGTGCTTGTGCCTCTCTTTATTATAAAACAAACAATTCATTTAACCTACATAAGCTACCCAAAAGTTAATGAGATTGACTCTGGATGAATAAGAAAAAGAACTGAGTTTCCTGCTCTTGCTGTCCTTGTTTGGACCTTAGTCTGTTCTTTACCTTATTGATCATCAGTATCATCATCAGAAACGTCGCTCAGAGCTCAGGTCTTACGCTCTTCTAATACATTACTGCTCTAAGTAATATAGTTTATAAACAGTTAAGTTTAGAACCCAGTCTAGTTATAAACAAGAACCAAGAATATGTGCCTTTTGAAAAAATGAATCTTCAAAATATGCCTTTTTCACCTGTTGCATAGCATTTTCGTAAATTACAAGATAATGTAGAAAATTTGGAAGATAAAGCAAATATAGAAAAAGAACACATCTCTATACACAAATTCATGATTATTTCCTTGCATAATTTCCCACAGGATTTAGGGCAATTGGTATGTGGATATTAAAGATTTCTGATATATCTCACAAAATATCCCCAGGATGATTGTACCATTTTACCTTTATATAACACAATAGGAAAATGTCTTCTTTATTCAAATTAACTAGTATTATTTTTTAATGCCACATTGAATGGCAAAAAACAAAGTTACTGGCTTTTTTTATTCACACATCTTTAAAAAGTTGGTTGAATATATGAAGCGAGGTTGAACACTTTTGCATGTCATACATCTATTTTCTAGGCATTTGTAGTTTTCTTTGAACTGTTTGAACTCTTTACCCATCAGAATATTTTTCTTTTAATTCTTCTGCATACACTACCTTCATATCTGATGGTTTTGTGCCAAAGACAAAGGCACGCTTGGTTCTTCCCTCCAGCATCTGAACCACTGGTATAAAGATCCTTGGTTTTTTTCTCATACATGTGATAGATTCATTTGAGTCTTCCCAATTTCACAGTGAATTTCAAGCCAAAGCCCCTAATTCTATATCCAGTTATCTTTCCCTTATCTTATTATAATAAACCAGCTTAACCCCTGGCTCTGAAAATGAATTGCCATGTGGCCCATCAAATGCCCTTAATTGCTGTTGTGTCATCCACTATTGGAAACCTTTAGTCTTATGTTAAGACCCTGCATAAAGGGAACTTCGATGACAGCTGTCCTTTAGAAGAGTGACCAACACCCCTTGTCTGTCTCTTTAATCCTATGTGACCACTGGCCAACAAAGATGTAGAATTTCTACTATACATAGACATCACTTCAAATTGGTAGTGAAGAACATCACGTGATCACTTCCCTGCTCTGAGACCAATGACTTCATCCCCAGAGCTCTTGGAATTTATCTCAGCATAAGCATCATGATTAAGGCAAAAATAGAATGGCCCCTTTGCAAAGTGAATCTTTTCTCGTTTATTGTTTCCTATCTGTTACGCTTTTGCTGCTGGTAAACAGAGTCAGATTTTACATTCAACCATAGTAACACTACCAGCTCTCATAATTTCCATTCAGTAGCTTTGTTTCCATAAATGTTGTTAAGTATTTACAGTGTGCCACTGTATTTTCTATTATTTATATTTATTATTATTTAACATTAATATTTCTAAATATTAAATATTTGCAGTGTGGTAGATACTTAAGATACAAAAATGAAATAAATCACATAATTAATTGTTTTACATGAAAGAGATCTTTCCTCCTCCTTCCCATGGTTCTGACTTTCTCTTTTATTAACCTTATGAAGTAAATGTCCTTCATTTAAAACGAGTTCAAGAAATTTTGGAAGGAAACAGAGCATTAAAAATGTTTATTCGATGTGTTTAAAAGAGTGGATCATTGATATTTTATCCTAAAATAAGATTAAGTAAAATAACATTTTTTCTTTCCCGAAATTACAAACATCCTTGAAGAATTATCCAGATTGAATGAAAAAGAATGTCTTAGTTTTACACAGCCTGGAAACTTGGTAGAAAAAGAAGCAAACAAATAAATCTCCATGAAACTAGATCACGATGCCCTAACATTTCCTGAGAACAAAGTGCCACATCTGTGTCTACATTTAGTAGAACACTCTTTATACATGTGACCTTGCAGAAGAGTTGCTAGTAAATAAACTTGCCTTCATGTCTCTGTAGAAATCCTTTTCAGCCCGGGCTGTGTCCCGCTCCCATCAAAGGGCAGAACACATCTTAAAGAACTTGCAACAGGAGGAAGAGAAGAAACGTCTTGGTCGAGAAGCCAGCCTCATCACTGCCATCCCCATCACCCAGGAGGCTTGCTACGAGCCCACCTGCACACCCAACTCAGAGCCAGAAGAAGAAGGTGCCCTCTACACACTGGACTTCTTTGAGGGGGGCGCGCTGAGTCACACAAAAGGGAAAGGACTTGCTTTGAAATAAACATTGACGATTTTATGTGACATGAGGTGATATGCTCCCTCTATCTCTCTCTCTTACCTCCTGACACTATCTAAAGAAAGAGAAAAAAGTTGTCTTTTTCTAAATGTTTAGAGCTGGCTTGTTTACAGAGGAGGACATTACCCACATTGAATGAACTAATATGATAATGGACCAAGCAGTGACTATGATTCAGGCAACAGCTGAATCCAGAGTGTGTGCTAAAACATACGCAATCAATCTTTCATCATTAAAAATGGGGTTAGTCCATTAACTACTTTCAGCCTTCACAAGTGCAGACAGTTTTTTGGTTGGTATCAGAAAAATGATTTCTGAACCATTCTAAATTCAGTGATTCTCTGCCCCACTTCTGTGAAATCTTTGGGAGGAATTTTCTGTCTGCCTTTCTGTAGGTGTTTCTTCCTCACCAAAGTACACTCTAAATTACTTAAGCCTTATGCTATGAGAGCTATATACACTTTGATGTAAGTACAACTATAATAGTGATGATAACTTTTTTGTTACAAAACCAAAGTTCACGTTCCCCATTTTCTTTGCCAGTAGAAGAAGTCACCAATCTGGCAGCCCGTCGACTGTCTGTGAGTCCATCCTGTACCTCCAGCACTTCCCACAGGAATTATTCCTTCCGCCGAGGGTCAGTCTGGTCAGTGCGTTCAGCTGTCAGTGCTGAAGGTGTGTCCTCTTACAAATGTGTCCTTTATTCCTCATGACTTGTGTGTTTTGAAACAATTTTTATTTGATATGATTATCTCACTTCATTACACTGTCTTCATTAAATAACCTGTCTCATGATCTTAAAGTTTAAAAATGTATATTAGATGAGTGGTATTCTAAAAAAAAATTGTTGATTTAACCCAGCAAATGTCCTTGATAAATTGGTTCTATTTTAATTACATTACATGTCATCATATTGCTGAGGGTTCAGTAAAACATCATTCTAGGCAGTTAACAGTTTTCAACACTGGCTACACATTACAATCAACCAGGGAGCTTTTAAAAATGCCCAGGTCACACCCAAGACCAAATCAGAATCTCTAAGGGTGGGACTCAAGCACCTCAGTGTTTTTAAAATCTTCTCAGGTGATTCCAGTGCATAGCTAAGACTCAGTAGGATGCTTTAGGATGCTGTTCTGGAATAATTTATCAAAGGAAGAACAAAGCTCGTGCCAGTCCTGTAATGAAATCTGATTCCGGGGGAGAAATGTGATACTCTTCAGTTCTAAGAATTTAAAAACTACGCTTCTCTAATGATAAATAACTGTCTGGGGACTCGCTCCGTCAATATTATACAGATTTCATCACGATTTATAAAGTCATCAAAAAGTTGTACAGAAACTAGTGGTTCTCAACCCTTCACTGCACAACCCTGGAAAACTTCAAAAATGACCAATGCTAATTAATCACAGCAGCCCAAGGCATATCTATATTTTTTCTAACACCTTTCTTGAGATATAATTCACATACTAAAATTCACCTTTTGAAGTGCATAATGCAGTGGTTGTTAGTATATTTGTAGAGCGTGCAACCATCAACCCTACTTAATTTTAGGATATTTTCATTATCCCCAAAAGAGACCCTATACCCATTAGTAGTCACGCCTCATCCACCACTCCCCCCAACCCCTGACAAGCAATAATCTACTTTCTATTTCTATGGATTTGCCTATTCTGCACATCTCATATGAATGGAATCATATAATATGTGGCCTTTTGTGACTGGATCCTTTCACTCAGCATACTTTCAAGGACGATCCATGCTGCCACATGTATCAGTTCTTCATTCCTTCTTATTACAAGATAATGTTCCATTATATGGATACGCCACATTTTGTTTATCCGTTCACCAGTTAGAGTGGACTTTTGGGTTGTTTCCACCCTTTGGTTATTATGAATTACACTCTTATGAACCATTATGTATAAGTTTTGTGAGGAAAACTGCCAAACTCTTTTCAAAAGTGTCTGTATCGTTTTACATTCCGACCAAAAAGCATAAGGGTTCCAACTGTTCCACACCCTTGCATAGGCACAGTAATCTTGGAAATGAAGAGCAAAGTTGGAAAACATACATTTCCCCATTTCAAAACTGACTACAGAGCTGCAGTAACCAAGACTGTGCAGTATGGACTTGAGGGTTGATATACACATCAAGGGACTAGATTGGAACCGGAAGAAAACCATTACATGTATGTTGATTTCAAGTTTGAAAAGGGTGCCATGAAACGTCAATGGGGGAAAGAATAGTCTTTCCAACAGATGATGCTGGCACAGCTAGATATCTGCACAGAAAAGAAAATGTTCCATAAGTAGGTCTTGAACTGAGAAAAGCACGCCGATTCTGCCTCCCTCTTCAGATGAGGAGCACACCACCGAACACATGCCCAGCCCCCACGTGCCTCAGCCCCCGCAGGCTGTGTTCCCGGCATGCATCTGTGCAGCAGTGCTCCCCATTGTCCACCTGATGGAGGATGGTGAGGTGCGGGAAGATGGAGTAGCAGGTACAGTTTTTTGTTTGTTTGTTTGTTTTTTGCGGTACGCGGGCCTCTCACTGCTGTGGCCCCTCCCGTTGCGGAGCACAGGCTCCGGACGCGCAGGCTCAGCGGCCATGGCTCACGGGCTCAGCTGCTCCGCGGCATGTGGGATCTTTCCGTACCGGGGCACGAGCCCGTGTCCCCTGCATCGGCAGGCGGACTCTCAACCACTGCGCCACCAGGGAAGACCAACAGGTACAGTTTTGACTAGTCAAAACCGTCAGTAACTCTAATCAATACTGAAGGCGTTGATCTGATAAAGAGCAGTAGTGTGCCCTCGAAGCCATGAACCACTGGCCACGTGTGGAGTTGTTTTATGGACATACTATAATGACAGATTTGTAGTACACTGAACTAACACTACCACTTTCTCCCCCTTTTCCTCCCACAAACTTTATGACCAAGGTATTGCACTTAAAATAGGCAGTTTTTTCCAGGAGCGTTGTTTAGGACTGGAGAACAGACCAACCCTCATTTGGCCACGGAGAAATCAAATAGTGATTTTGGCCACCTTAGAAATCTTAGCCATTGGCTTGACATCATTAATGCCATCTTTCTCACTTGATTTCCTTTCCAGAGGTAATATGTAAAGAAAATAATTGAAAAATGAAATGATAAACTAGGGGTAAAGATGAGTTACATTTGTCACAGATAACAGGTTAATATTCTTGATGTTATTTTTAAAAAAAAAAAAACCTTTATAACTCAATAATGACATTTTTATACCCCAGTAGAGAAATGGACAAAGGATATAAACACACACTCTAACAGCCAATTAAATCTGTAAATAACACTGTTGTTTAAAACAACAGTGAAATCTTACATTTCATATAAAAAATTGCAAGGATTATTTCAAAAGAAATTATGCATAGCTGGTAAAGATTCAGAGAAAAGATTATCCTCACACCTCGCTGACGTCAGTAAAAATTTAATGCAAGCATTCTGAAACAGTTTCACAGTTTCACCATAAGCCTTAAAAGTGTGTACACCCTTTGACACAGATTTTGGTATCTAGCAATTTCCTAAGGCAGTAATGAGGGGTGAATTAAGGTTTACAGAGAACGCTGTACCTTGTATGGTTTTAAAATAACAAATATTCGAGAAGAGTTTAAATGTCCAACAATAGGCAATTAGTTAATCATGGTACCTCCATATGACAGCTTTCTGTGCACATTAGAAAAATATTAACATAAAAGTGTTCAATTTATAATTAAAAATGTGAGTACCAGAGAGTATTTTCTATATGATATTATTTAAAGATACATGTAAATATATATATTTCATGTATATGAAAAAATATACTCCAAAATGTTTATAGTTGTTTTGGTGGTTGGTAGACTTATCAGCCTTATTCTCCTCTTTGTCTTTTTCTGTATTTCTCATGTTTTAAGCTTAAACTGCCGTACTTAGCAATTAGAATAAAAATAGTGTTATAAAGATAGTTTTGCAGCCAATTTCAACTTAACAAAAACCCACATCTATTTTAATTATTTATAAAGATACATGAAAGTTAAAGCTTATATTTACATCTGTTAAATTATTTATTTATATAGCTCAATTTTAATTGGATGGTTAGCTTCTGAAGCAAAAAAAATTGGTATGATTTATTTTAAATATAGACTGAAAAATAAATTTATGCTAAACTCTATATTCCTAGTTTAGAAAACTAAACTAAACCATTTAAACTGAAGATCATCTAATGCTTACCCCCTACTCACTTTTACCCACCTGCTTTCTTAGCCTGGGCACTTCCAGGCAACCTTAGACTGACCACTTTTCCCAAAGAAGTAGCACTTTCTTTCACATTAGGAATAATTATTTATTCCTAAGACACCCTCATTAGAAGTGGGAACCCTAACTGTTACTGGCTCAACTATGTCATCTTGCTGTGGGAGTTATTATTTAAAACATTCATGTGAACAATAAAAGGTCATGTCTAATTCATGTGCATTCTAAACAAAGCATATTTTCTAAACCAAATAATTACTTTAGGAATTTCTGCATACAATAAACAATGAAGTGGGACTTTAATAAATACTTTCCACTGTTAACATTAGGGTAATTTCCAAAACAAAGATTCATAACTGTATTCTTTTTTTATTAAGATGTAATTGACATATAACATTGTGCTAGTTTTAGGTATACAACATAAACATTTGACATATGTATGCATTACAAAATGATTACCACGATAAGTTTAGTTAACATCCATCACCATACATAGCTACAATTTTTTTTATGATGGGAACTTTTTAAAAAAATTTTTGCCTCCTTTGGGTCTTCGTGGCTGCACGTGGGCTTTCTCTAGCTGCAACGAGCAGGGGTTATTTTTCGTCGCAGTGCACAGACATCGAATTGCGGTGGCTTCTCTTGTGGAGCACGAGCTCTAGGTGCACGGGCTCAGTAGTTGTGGCCCGTGTGCTCTAGAGTGCAAACTCAGTAGCTGTGGCGCTCAGGCTTAGTTGCTTCGCGGCATGTGGGGTCTTCCCGGAGCCGGGCTCGAACCTTTGTCCCCTGCATTGGCAAGTGGATTCTTAACCACTGTGCTACCAGGGAAGTCCTGATGAGGACTTTTAATAACTACTGTCTTAACAGCTTTCAAGTATACAATACAGTATTGTTAACGACAGTCACCATGCTGTACATTATATCCCCAGGATTTATTTATCTTATAACTGGAAGTTTGTAACCTTTGACCACCTTCCCTCCCCCCAGTACCCACCCCCCCACCTCTGGTAACAAATCTGTCCTATGTATCTATGAGTTTGGGTTTTTCTTAGATTCCACATGTAAGTGAGATCATACATTTTTCTTTCTATGTCTGACTTCTTTCACTTTGCATAACACCCTCAAAGTCCATCCATATTGTCACAAATGGGAGGATTTCCTTTTTTATGGCTAAATGATATTCCATTGTATATCACAAATGCATTTTTAACAAAAGCAATGCTGATATTTAAAGGGCATCCTATACTCTTGTCACATTTTCCTTATAGGCTAAAATGTTCAGAAACAACAACAAAAAGAACAGATAACCTGCCTTTCAATAGAAAAAGAGGTCACAGAACATCTGTAAGGCAGAAATTTGAGCGAGACCTATTAAAGTTTAGAAAATTATTTGAATACTTTATCTAATAGATTTTTCTCCATTTAAGATGAATATTCAATTTCCTTTCTCTTCTGAAGTGAGTGCTGTGGCCCAGCAAGTCTTATGGAATTGTCTAATTGAAGATCCATCAACAGTTCTTCGACATTTCCTGGAAAAACTGACCATCAGCAATAGACAAGTAAATTCCTCTTTCTTTATAGTGTAGCTATGTAGCTATGTATGTGAACATGGTTAAAACAAGCAGTGGACTTTATAGTGACATGCATGCAACATTGGTGTCCTCTGACATATAGCCGAGAAGTACTTTGGATGATGATAATGATGAACAAATTAAACTTGGCTGTTTTCTTTTGAATTTCTCCATTAACTGATGTCTCCGTATGTATATGGTACACTGCTAGTAATGACCCTAAGATACTGAAAGATTCTCAGTCTTTTAAAGAAAGATTAAATTCAGTTTAATGTTTTCAGTGTTCGGTACATTTACTGAATTCTACCTGGCTGGTAGTATGTGGTGCAGGTAGTATTATTAGAGCATGTTGAAACTCTCCACTAATCAAAAAATCTAATTTATCAGGTCACCCTGTGAGAAGATTATGCCAAATAAAAGTCATTTTCTGAGCAATGGCAAAATACCCTGATGATTACAAATTATTTCTTCATTTCTGTGTTATGGTCCTGTTCACTGGGAGATTAAGTTTCTGAAAGGAAGGTTAATTAGAAACACCTCCATTTATTCTCTCTTGGCCCAGCTTTATCTCTTTGACTTGAAACGTAGGAAGCAGAACTATGAAGTTCAATAAACCTAGTTTGTTTAATGGTTTCTTAAGATAGATCCTCCTCACATTTCCATCACACCTGGAAGCCACAGCAAATAGAGATGACTAAATGTACAGCTTTCCTGTGATTTGCCTGTGACCTATAGACACAGTCTACATTTTTATTTAAAAATTTGACTCTTGCTTAGTAATTTCATGTATTAGCTTCTAGGAGACGGTGTTACAGTTGGTTTAAATGCTATTTAACAAGTATCACAAATACTATATTAAAATTCTGAACATAAGGGAAATCAACATGTGGGCAAAAGTAAGAAAATTCCCCCTACCTTGCTTTTCAAGAAGTTAATTTTATTTCCTACAGCATGGCAGCTGAATGAGACCTAGAAATTCTGTTGTTCTTTCAGGATGAGTTAATGTACATGCTGCGCAAACTTCTCCTGAATATCGGAGACTTTCCTGCTCAGACCTCTCACATCCTATTCAACTACTTGGTGAGTTTCACCTCCAGTAGGTTATAAATATTCATTTCCAAGTAGGAAGCAACAATAAGAGAAAAAGATCTTAGGAGATTTTTTTTTTCAATAAGTTCCCATTAATTATATGACTGAAAGTGAATCATGGTCAGCTGAATTCACCACTGTTTGTATGGGGAAGCCCCTCCTGGCACAATCCTTGGCATGTGATGGGCACTCAGTAAATGTCTCTTTCCTCTCTGTCTCCCTTTGGCATTATAGAACTTCCTCATGTCGGTCCATAATTTTAGTTTTCTGTTGAAAAAGTGTATATATCATTTTTTTAAAAATTCCTTTTTCTTTTAACACCTTTATTGGAGTATAATTGCTTTACAATGGTATGTTAGTTTCTGCTTTATAACAAAGTGAATCAGCTATACATATTCATATATCCCCATATCCCCTCCCTCTTGCGTCTCCCTCCCACCCTCACTATCCCACCCCTCTAGGTGGTCACAAAGCACGGAGCTGATCTCCCTGTGTGATGCAGCTGCTTCCCACTAGCTATCTATTTTACATTTGCTAGTGTATATATGTCAATGCTACTCTCTCACTTCATCCCAGCTTACCCTTCCCCTTCCCCTTCCCCATGTCAAGTCCATTCTTTACGTCTGTGTCTTTATTCCTGTCCTGCCCCTAGGTTCTTCAGAACCATTTTGGGTTTTTTTTACATTCCACATATGTGTGTTAGCATACAGTATTTGTTTTTCTCTTTCTGACTTACTTCACTCTCTGGGTCCATCCAGCTCACTACAAATAACTCAATTTCGTTTCTTTTTATGGCTGAGTAATATTCCATTGTATACATGTGCCATATCTTTATCCATTCATCTGTCGATGGACATTTAGGTTGCTTCCATGTCCTGGCTATTGTAAATGTGCTGCAATGAACATTGTGGTACATGACTCTTTTTGAATTATGGTTTTCTCAGGGTATGCTAACACATATATATGGAATCTAAAAATATATATATGGTTCTGATGAACCTAGGGGCAGGACAGGAATAAAAACCCAGATGTAGAGAATTGACTTGAGAACATGGGGAGGGAGAAGGGTAAGCTGGGATGAAGTGAGAGAGTAGCATTGACATATATACACTAGCAAATGTAAAATAGATAGCTAGTGGGAAGCAGCTGCATCACACAGGGAGATCAGCTCCGTGCTTTGTGACCACCTAGAGGGGTGGGATAGTGAGGGTGGGAGGGAGACGCAAGAGGGAGGGGATATGGGGATATATGCAGACATGTAGCTGATTCACTTTGTTACACAGCAGAAACTAACACAACATTGTAAAGCAATTGTACTCCAGTAAAGATGTTAAAAAAAAATAGCAGTAAGTATTTTAGTGATGACATAAAAATATATGGCAACCTGTTCAGGTCAGTTTTCCAGTTGTCCCTTCTTCTGCTTACTTCCACTGAAAGTGTTAGAGAAGCATTTGAACAGAGAATTCAAAGTCAAAAAAACAATATTTAATTAAGAAAATGAAAAGCCAAGGCAATGAGAATGTAAGCTCAGAATTACTGTGACTTTGTGACCACTTCCTGTTCTGACTTATAGGTAGGATTAATCATGTACTTCGTGCGGACCCCCTGCGAGTGGGGGATGGATGCCATTTCAGCCACTCTGACTTTCCTGTGGGAGGTGGTCGGTTACGTAGAAGGCCTGTTCTTCAAGGATCTGAAGCAGACCATGAAGAAGGAGCAATGTGAGGTCAAGCTCCTGGTGACCGCTTCAATGCCAGGTACTGCTTTTGGAAGACATAACTTTTTTAGGAGTATAAATAAGGCTTTTACGAAGCAAGTGTCTCTTTCATTCATGAGAAGATTTTCTGACCCTGGGATTGAGTGCTTCAAAGAACTTTTGTTGGATACAATCTGAAGAAGTACAATAGGCCCTTTAAAAGTCAGCAATTGCCAGATGAAAAGGGAGACATCAGAACTGAGATCCACGTGAATCAGTACTTGAAGGACTGCCAAGGTTAAAGATTTATTTAAGTCTATTGCAGAGGGCCAGCTGAACTGAGAGCCTTTTTGAATGAATTTTTGGCACTGCAAGGAGAATAATATTGTTTGCATGGCAGGGGCCCCAGGCTTTTGTAAACTCACTGAGAGATGGCTTTATGAAAAATTGGAAAAGGGAAAAGCAGGAGGGAAAATTACAAAAAAACATGCAGTGTGATATAAACTCTAGGTACAATTCCTTTTCACTTTGGATAGCTTGCCTTTCTTGGAGATGAAATTTTGCCAAGCCTTTATCCTTGTGCAATGTCTAAGAAAATGTGAGATAATACGTGTATTGAAATAAAAAGACAAAATTATATATAAATAAGAATACAGGTTCTGGCAGCAAAGAGGCCTGTGTTAAAATCAGAGCACTGCCGTTTATCATCTGTGTAATTAATATTAGCTATGAAAAAGTACATCACTTTTAAAGCTTTCTTTACTCACACGTACAATGGGAGTATGATTCATACTTCATAATTGTGAGGAATAAATGAGTTTAGGTTTGTAAAATACTAGCTGCCATACCTGACACGTGGTAAGCATTCAGTAAGTGGTATATGGTATATGGTATATATACCATATATGGTATATTTATGTGCCTGTAGGTTACTCAACAAAGAGATCAGCTTTTATCACAGCAAAGAAACATATTGTCAGGCATATACTTAAAAACAACTCATTATAAATCAAGGTATATCATAATGTTCACTGTCTCACCAGCCAAGCAGAATACAGAAAATGTAAACTTAAACTACCTTTCAGGTACTTGTTTAGCTTTTGCTAATAGCTCTGTTTGTATCTTCTCAACCATTATTACCTCATCATCTCATTTAAAATAAAGGAATAGATTATTTGTTGGAATGCTTAAGGTTTGAATTCTGACTCTTCCACTAAATAAATGTGTCTTTGACTAAGTTACTTATAAGTTCTTATTTATAAGAATAAGTTCTCTCTGTTTCTTCATTTGTAGTGTGAAAATAATAATACCCATATCATAAGGTTGCTATGAGATTTAAATATGATTATGCACATAAAACCATTTAAAAGTATGGGGAACTCCATAAACGGTAGCTATGATTTTTAAATAATAAGTAAACATATTTACAATATATATTTAGGGCTTCCCTGGTGGCGCAGTGGTTGAGAGTCCGCCTGCCGATGCAGGGGACACGGGTTCGTGCCCCGGTCCGGGAAGACCCCACATGCCGCGGAGCGGCTGGGCCCGTGAGCCATGGCTGCTGAGCCTGCGCGTCCGGAGCCTGTGCTCTGCAACGGGAGAGGCCACAAAAGTGTGAGAGACCCAAAAAAAAAAAAAAAAAAAAAATATATATATATATATTTATATATATTTAACTAGAAACAAAGGAGCGCAGTTAGTACAATGCACAAGTTGCATTAAACCCTCACTAGTAGTAATCATAATAATAATAAAAACATCAGCTTATTGATAATATTTTAATAATTTGTGCTTTATCTATAAACTTTCTTATAGTAGAAGTCAGTTTATTATGATTTTTACCTTCTGTAGGTACCAAGACCTTGGTAGTTCATGGACAGAATGAGTGTGATATCCCAACCCAGTTACCAGTCCATGAAGATACTCAATTTGAAGCCCTGTTAAAGGTAGGGATGACTTTTGACAGAAGTGATTTGTTTTTAATGCACAATGGCTATGGCCACTTCACTGATCATCCAGTTTTGAATTAAACTGCCTTTCTCTATCTTCAAATGAATATATGCATTTATTTACCTCTTCTAGAATCTGCCCCACTCTTGTGTACTTCCTCTATTTCCTTGCATAATTTTCCCCACATGGATGTAGGCAAGATCATGCTGGCTCCCTCTCAGTTACGGCAGCCACGTGACACTCCTCTTGAGATGCTGTGAATCCTGCGTAGGAGTATCCTGGCATCACTTGTGGCAGTTCTGGAGCCGCCCTGGGTTTGCACGCCAAGGGCACTGGCACAAACTCTAGGGGTCAGGTGACAGTCCATGCCAGAGACGCTTTTTGTGGCATCGAGTTGAACAATACACAGTCTTGATTTGCCACTGACAGAAATGATTGGAGAGGCAGAAAATATATACCTTAGAATGAACTAAGTGAATCAAGAAAGTATTTTTAATGGTTATGACAATTACGCCCCTTAAGAGGTACGCAGTCCATTGTTACTCATGCCTGTAGGGTTGTTAAGGGAAAGTAGTAAGTACACTAGTGCAGTGATTCCCTGTTTACCTGGAGCCCAAACTTTCAGCCCAGAAAAGACCTCTGAGAAATTCAGTTTTGCAAGCCTGTGTATTTTATTTCAGTAGAAAGGGTCGTTAAGCCTCCTCCAGGCCTCACTCCTTCATCTCCAGAGCATCTCTCAGGCCCAGTGAAGCAAACTTTAACAGCCACTTCATTTTCCTACTCACTTTGGATGGTAGGATAGCATGAAGGCAGACAGTGAGTTCAAACCCAGGCTCCACCACAACCTCTAAATAAGTCAAACAACAGGCTCTCTCTAGTCTCAGTTTCTTTTTCAACAGTGCTCGATTATTAGGGCAGGTTATACAAGTTCTCTACATTGAAAGCATTGAGCATAGAATATAGTAGATAATAAGTGCTCAATCACTGTGGTTCATATTATTCTTAATGTTGCTACTAAACATGCTTTCTTCCTGATACTGAGACCAATAGATGCCACTGTGCCTTCACAGTGCATCGCTCGAGTCTACATTGCAATTGTACCTCCTTTAGCTCTATGAGAACGGGGCAGATAGTTTGTATTACACTCTCGGGCTTTTTTTACATTGAGATATAGTTGATGTATAATATTATATACACTTCAGGTATAGAGCATAGTGATTCGCAATTTTTAAAGGTCATATTCCATTTATAGTTATTCTAAAATATTGGCTATATTCTGTGTTGTACAATATATCCTTGTAGCTTATTTATTTTATGCATAGTAGTTTGCACGTCTTAATCCCCTACCCCTATCTTGCACTACCTTACACAATCAGTCTTTATGCTGCCATTTTTTTGGATAGCTGTGTGCATGTAAATGTTCATATATATGTGTGTGTATATAATATATATACGTATATATATATGCACACATAATATACAAAATGTGTGTAAGATATAAATACATATATATTCCTTATAGGAAGTTACCCTGTTTTACGACATTTTTACCTTTCAGCTTACTGTTTGGCTCATAATATGATCTCAATAAATGTTTATTAAAAATTGCTGTCGTTCTAGGAGTGTCTGGAGTTTTTTAATATCCCAGAATCCCAGTCTACACATTACTTTCTCATGGATAAACGATGGAACCTTATCCACTACAATAAGGTGAGACTGCAGTGATGACGCTCATGGAGAGCTGTGTCAAAAGCCCATTATGCCTTTCCGGAGGGCAGCTTCACTCAGGGGGGCGTCGCTGTTTATAGGTGAGGCGTATGGCCGCTTGGTTCACACCACCTCACTGCTGATGTATTAGCTTTGGACTGGCCACTTTACCTTTGTACCCTTCAGTTTCCTTGTCTGTAGAGGGAAGGTGATGATAGTAGCTACTTTAGCGTCGTTGTAATAATTAAAGGAGGTAAGTAAGGCACTTCATCACTCGTCATTATTACATCTAGATGAACACTTAAGTTTACCCGTATTGTAAGTACACGTGTTTATTTGGAATGTTAATGTTGTTCTCGTGCCGCTTTCTACTACATTAAGCATGATTGTGGTAACGTGATCTAATGAACAAAGGAAACCTCAGGAAGACCACTGACATCACTTTACAGGGCTTTTCTTTTCTTCTTCAGAATGGGTTTTAGTAAATGGCGTCTGGCTCCTTGGCTCCTGACAGAGCATCCTGGACTTTGGAAAGCATACTCGGCCTGGGGAGATTGAAGCGTTCCCGAGGAGGGTGTTTATCTTCCCTAGGATTTTGTAGAATTGGGGAGCATAAAGTAGTAAGAATCTAAACCATCAGAAAATACATAACATGTTTGTCTGACCTTTGGGGAAAGAGGAAATGAGAGTCAGAGTTTAATTATTTGAACTCTTTTTTTGTCTTTGTGTAATCCCACCACAGACCTATGTTCGGGATATTTACCCTTTTAGGAGATCCGTGTCTCCACAGCTGAACCTTGTACATATGCATCCAGAGAAAGGACAGGAGCTCATTCAGAAACAGGTGCCTGACCACCACAGCTTTGTTCTATTTTGTCATGTCATTGGGATAGATGATCTGTAAACGGTTGCCAGCCCTGAGATTCTGTGATTCCGTTATGATACTTTCTAGAGAGAGAATGATGGGCCCTTGGTCAATAGATAGTTACCCAAAATAGTGTGTTAACCAAGTTTTTATAAATTGGATGAATAATGCAAAGGTATTAAGAGACACTCACTAGGAGAATGCTATGAGAAATCATTGGGGTATAAATAGCAGAAATCTTCTAATTTATTTACCTGCTAGTTTCTAAGTTTGGATTTTCACTCCATATTTTTGTAAAGCAGGATTGGAAGTACACATAGTGTAGCTATAAGAAGGTTGTCCCAGAAATTTATGCTAGCTGGAAAAAAAATAAAAGGGGTCAATGTAGTGTGCCTGAAAAAGGCCCCGCACCAAGGTCCAGAGATATGGACTCAGTCCCAGCTCTGCCACTGACCAGTGATCTGACCTTGGACATGTTACTGACTTCTCTTAAGATAGGAGGAAACAGAATCAAGCAGCTGTACTTAGATTTAAGATTGAAGAACAGAATAACGTTTACACATCTCATCATAAATCAGACTTTGAGCTTAAGGAAATTCACTGTTTTGCAAGCAAAATATAGCTGTAGTACACAATTCTAATAATGATACAATTTTAATGTGGTCTATGTGTTATATTCATTTATTTTTAATAAAATGTTGAAACAAACTATTATTTCAATTTTTCTGCACGTAGCAAGGATGCTTTTCAAAAATATCTTTAGGGGATGGCATAGAATCCGACCATTTAAGTAATTAAAAACATAGTTAGTATTAAATACCTAAATTGCATTTAGAAGAAAGAAAATAGCGAATGTATTACAAAGTGTGAGGTGTTGGGCAAAACTGTAAGACCTTAAATATAAATAATTCCTAAAACAATTCCCCACAAATTATCCCAGCCTCTGATTTTGGCAGCAAAATAATGAAAACCATAATCAATAACCGCACTTCACGAGTGTGTTTTTTAAATCATGTTTAAGAACACGTTTTAAGAGAATAACATAAAACGGGGCCCTTACTCTACTTATACTCCAAGTTGGGATCTTAAGACTTCTTTCTGATTTCCTCAGGGAGATAATAATAGACAGACCTGTGGTTCTGGCTCTGAAGTCTCCTCCACAGCTGCTCACTGCTTATCATCTTCCTAGTCACATCCCCCTGCCCACTGATCAGCAACAGAAAAGGCACTAAGAGAAGGACCAAAAGACCCATGTTCACGTCATCTAAACTAAGGGCTAAAGGACCACCAATCTAGGTCCTATTAGCTTTTGTTCCAAGATAGGTTTTTCCTGGAGCCCATTTCAGTCTTTAAGAGGCAAACCCAGAAACAGCGTAAGGCATCAGTAGAAATGATAGAAGCAATTGGAACTGACTGGCTCCTGTTGGAGAAGGTCTTCTATATTATGACATCCAAACAAATGGGCTGTATTTACTACTGAACTGTTCTTGACAGTGCTTGCCTTGTTCTCCTCCTCTAGCTGGCAAACTCCATAAGAAACGCTTCCTTCTGTAGGACAGATGCAGGAAGTGAGAGTCAATTAAGTATTGTTTGCTCTTTCTGGGTGGTAAAGAAAAAATATTTCTCTCCCATTTCACTTCCCCCATCTTTCAATTTTTAATCAGCCCGGTTTGCCATTAAGGCTTTCACTTCAGTTTCTTCACTCTTGGTAATTTCAGAGTTGCCAATTCTACTTTTCATCTGCTCCTGCCTTTGCCGGTAGGTATTCACTCGGAAGCTGGAGGAAGTGGGGAGGGTTTTGTTTCTCATCTCCCTCACCCAGAAGATCCCCACAGCCCACAAGCAGTCTCACGTCTCCATGCTCCAGGAAGACCTCCTCCGACTGCCCTCATTCCCTCGAAGTGCTATTGACGCAGAGTTTTCACTCTTCAGTGATCCTCAAGGTATCAAGAAAGAAGCATTTCCTCTCTCGGGCTTCTTCTCCTGCCCTTCTTTTGTCCTCAGCTAGAGGACGTCTCTATCTTAATCGGCAGACAGTTCTCTAAGCTAGTGGCTCTCAGCTCTTGAGTGGGCACCAGAATCACCTGGAGAACTTGATAAAACACAGATTGCTGGGTCCCACCCTCCAGCCCCGAGTTTCTGATTCAGTAGCTCTGGAATGGGGCTTGGGAACTTGCATTTCTGACAAGCTCCCAGGTGAGGCTGGTGCTTCTGTTCCAAGGACCAAATCCTGAGACCACTGCTCTAAGCTAATCGTAAGCAATTGAAGGAAGTAGTGTGGTATTGTTAGGAGAGTACTTGACTAAGTGAAGAACAGATATTTATATGAAATTCAAGAGGAGGCAAAACGAATCTACAGTGACAGAAATCAGAACAGTAGTTACCTCTGGATTGGGGGGAATGGATTTCCCAGAAAGGGGTATGAGAGAACTTTCTCAGGTGATGAAAATGGTCTATACATTGATTGGCGTGTTCATTACCTGAGTGGGTATTTTTGTCAAAATTCATTGAATTCTACATTTATGTTCTGTGCCTTTTACTCTATCTAAATTATACCTTCTTAATTAGAAAGTCTGGAGTCAGGGCCCAGTAATCTGTGTTTTTATAAGACCTCCAGGTGGTTTTGATGCCCTAGGAAGCCTGAGAACCATTATTCAAATTGAGAGAGAGAGAGAGAGAGAGACTGAAACAGAGAAATTGGAAGAGACCCATTTTGAAACCACGCTCTGTTACTCAGTTATTAATTTGGGACAGTTTACTTAAATCAGCATCCCTATGCTCTACATGTTCATCCAGAAGCTCCAGAGAAATAGTAGACACAGCTCTAGTCTGACCATGAGTTCAAAGACCAAGAGCAAGTCCCAGCCCTGCCATTTTCTTAATAGCTTATTTTTTCTCAAAGCCACAGCTTATGCAGCAGCAAGACACTGCACCTGCCTGCCCTGTCTTGCCCACAGAGTTGAATCAAAGAGGCGATGAAGAAAGTACTTGGAGGGCTAGGAGGTGTCACAGCAGTGGCTGCAATATTGCTCCGGGAAGCGTATCAGCAGTAGATCTTCATGTCCCTGAGCTGGAAACAGCAGCGCCCTGGGGTTTGATTGCCCTCCACACTGACAGGATTGGCGTGGGGCTAATTCTGTCTCTGCTGTTTCATGTTTCACAGCTGGGAAGGAGCTGTTTGGCCTCGACACTCTTCAGAAAAGCTTGTGGATCCAGCTCCTGGAGGAGATGTTCCTGGGCATGCCGAGCGAGTTTCCCTGGGGAGATGAAATCATGCTTTTCCTCAACGTTTTTAACGGGGCTCTGATCCTGCACCCAGAAGACAGTGCCCTGCTCAGGCAGTACGCGGCCACCGTCATCAACAGCGCTGTGCACTTCAATCACCTCTTCTCCCTCAGCGGCTACCAGTGGATTCTGCCCACCATGCTGCAGGTGCACAGGCTGTCCTCTCCTGCCCATGGAACAGGTCAACAAGATCTGTACCAAAACTTTTAATGATGGAATTATCTTCTTTTATGACCTCAAAAGGCACCAAATGAACCCCCCCTAGAAACTTCCAAAAGGTCATAATATTCCATTCTATTCTGAGATCTCCCAGACCTGGGCTCTGCTTTCCCATTTCTTCTGGACCAGTGGTTCTCAAAGTGCAATCTCTGGAGCAACAGCAGCAGAAGCAGCAGCATCACCTGGGGATTTGTTAGAAATGCACATTCTTGGGTTCCATCCCAGTGCTACTTAATCAGAAAGTCTGGAGTCAGGGCCCAGTAATCTGTGTTTTTACAAGACCTCCAGGTGGTTTTGATGCCCTAGGAAGCTTGAGAACCATTATTCAAATGTATGGCAAGCATTCAGTTGATGTTTCTCCCAAGAGAGTCTCCAACCTCTATCTGAATAGAGATTTTCATTGCCATTAAATTTGGTATGACAAGGTTGGAGGAGGTGAATGTAGCAGGAACAGTTTTCACTTAGTCATGCCTAATGTGTACATGGCTACAGTTAGGAGTACTGAGTAAAGTTCAGAAGGGGCCTTGAGGGCTC